GTATCGCTTCTCTGCACTCTAGCCTACATTTTCTTAAAACTACCGTAACTTTATCAGTTTTGTTCTGATTTTTATAAAATCACTAACGATCAATTTAGCTGACTAAGAGCTTCAAAATGAGCCCAAACACGATTAGGCTCCGCCCATTTTGATTTTTCGACTTTAAAGGCGCATGGACCCTCGAAATTTCAAAATCAACCAAAGCAAGTCGTGTTTAGGCTCATTTTGAAGCTAGTAACATCACAAATTTGGTAAAATGACTATTAATTTTTTTTCGGGTTTCTAGGCCGCCAGACCCCAATTTCTTTGGAAAACCGGTTATTTTTCAAGTACCCTCAATTGAACACAATATTTATTAGGATTGATGACGTTATTTTCATTTTTCTATTAAAAAAACAATTTTTAGTCATCTGATTTTGGATTTTTTTTTTCGTTTCGGGTTGAAAAATTCCAAAAAAGAGAGATTCGTCGAAGCGATAAGTTTACCGGTTCACCTGTTTCTCTCTCTTTTTCTCTAACCACTCTCTCACTTTCACACACTCTCTCGCTCTCTCTTTTTTGTTGATCACAGGTTCTCCGGTATATTTCCTTGTTTGTTAGAGAGAGAAAAATGTAACCAACAGGGTATTCGATTTTCCAATTCAAATTTTTTTCGATATTGATTGATTTTTTGGCTGTAACTTCTTAAATTTTTATTCAAAATTTTTGAAATTTCTATATTTGAATTGAACGCATTTCGAGCTTCAAAATAAGCCCAAACATGACTAGTCTGGCTCAGTTTTGAAGTTTGATCTACCAACCGCGACACAACCGCAACGCACTGGTCGAAATTCAAAATTGAGCTAGACTAGTCGTGTTTAGGCTCATTCAAGAGCTCGCAGCTTCACAAATTTGAAAATATTCATTTCTTAGAAAAATTCGCAAAACTATTGAGTTCTGCTTGAAAATCGTGATTTCTAAAAATTTGAGTTTTCTGAAATTTTTTCCTAATTCTTTCAGATTTTTTTAAACTCAATGGAACGTAAAATTTTGTATTTCTCATGTTTTTTGCTTCAAAATGAGCCCAGTCACGACTAATCTAGCTCAATTTTATAAATTTTGACCTGCCAACCGCGACGCGACCGCAGCGCACTGTTCAAAATTCAAAATTGAGCTAGACTAGTCGTGATTGGGCTTATTTTGAAGCTCTAAACCTAATAAATTTGAAAATTCCATCTTCTTCTCAAAATACGTCTGAACTAACAATATATAAATCGAAAAATCGAAAATTTTAATTTTCCTGTAAATTTGCTTTTTGTTTTTTTTTTTTGGATGATTCGTCAACGAAATTTGATGAAACTACATTTTTTGGATTTTCCATTTTTTTTAGCTTTGAAATAAACCTAAACACGACTAGTCTAGCTCAATTTTGAATTTTGACCTACCAGCCGCGACGCGACCGCAGCGCACTGTTCAAAATTCAAAATTGAGCTAGACTAGTCGTGTTTAGGCTCTTTTTGAAGCTCTTAACGAGCTGATTTCAAATGTTTGATTTAGACTCAAAAATATGCAGTCCCTAACAAATTCTGGCTTTTTGGAACTATTCAAAGTTCGATTTTCGATCATCTATAGTTTTTTCCCAGAAACGGAATCAAATTGCCAAGTTTCGTTTTTACAACCTAAAAAAGTTTTCCCATTTTCTCATAGTTTTCAGTTTCATTTCTGCCACCACCAACATTTTCCCGTTTCTCCAGGAATTTCTTACCATAAATGGTGGAGAAAGGTGGGTTTTAATAGTTGCCACTTTTTTCTTCTTCTTCTTTGAAGCTTAAAGCGGATAATAGCTAGCTATAGATGACACACTTTGTAAGCTGTACATTTTCGGAGAAAACATTCAAAAAAAAGTTGCATTTGGTTCTTTTTAGTAATTAATAATTTCCAGAATCACAATTCCTTTAAAACCGTTTTTCTGCTTTTACTCTGAAAACAAATCCATATTTTTTCTGCTTTTATTTTTTTCAGCGTTTTCTGAGCTTCAAAATGAGCCCAAACACGACTAGGCTTCGCCCACTTAGGGGTTAGAGCACACATTATTGTCCCTTCTAATATGCTCTGCTATCCTAAATATTTAAACTACTGTTGCATATTTTCATTCTTTTAAATACTTCTAGGACTTTACGCTATTTATGTGCCTCTTTGATGCCTAGAGCTTGAAACTGAGCTTGACCACAACTAATCTAGCTCAAGTTTGAATTTCCACCATTGCGTTGCGGAGTCGAAAGGTCGGAACAATTCAAATTGCACCGATTCTAGCCATCTTTATACTCATCTCACCGCTCGTGACAAGTCCTCCGCCCTGCTTGTACTTTCAACAAAATTGGTTAACACTTAAGCCAGTTTCGGTAGTCGAATAAAAGAGAAGCTAGAGTGCAGAGAGGCGAGACACACTGCGTCTCTAATCAAAAGTGGGCGGAGCCTAGTCGTGTTTATACTCATTTTGAAGCTCTAAACAAGACAAATCTATTGGTTATAATGTTTTTGAATTCTGACAAAAACTAAAAAAGTTACGGTCATTTGAAAAAGAGCTATAGTCTTTGGGTTAAATTATGCGCCTTTAAAGTATTTCTGAAAATTTCTGGTACATTTTTTCTGGGTTTTTGATCAACAATATATAACCCCATTTTCTCGTATTTTTCCCTCCATTGCCTCCAAAAAGGAATCCCTATTCTTTTCCCGATCTTTCCTTATCAGTTCCGCCAAATCTCCCTTTCTCCAGAATACTACTATTACTGATAATCGTCTTCTTCTTCTTCTTCTTTTCCAAAAGAAGGACACTCCTTCTTCTTCTTCACGAAGACATTACAATCGTATAGATACATATATATTATAACTACTATATCGTCATCCTGGATCTCTCTCTCTCTCTCTCTCTCTCTCTCTCTCTCTCTCTCTCTCTCTCTCTCTCTCTCTCTCTCTCTCTCTCTTTTTCTCTCTCGTTTTATGTCTCACATTCCTTGAGATTCCTTCCTCTACCATCTCATCCAACCAACTGACCAACTACTATTTGACTAATAATAATCCAACCAACTAGTTCCAATGTTCCCCGTTTGAAACAAACCAACTTTTTGAAACTGTCATAACTTTTTCCAAAATTTTGAAAACTAGAAACTAGATGACAATCAAATTTCCGAATTCGCCAAGAGTTTCACTTCAAAATGAGCCGAAACAAGACTAGGCTTCGCTCATTTTGAGGTGCTCCTAACTAGTTTTAGTTTCTATGTTCCTTTTTGGAACCGAAAACTTAAAACGTCCATAACTTTTTTCAGAAATTCCAAAATTTTTTGAAACTAAAATTTTCGAATTTTTCAAATTTTGAGCTTCAAAATGAGGCTAAAGACAACTAGGAATGCTCAACTTTGAATTTTGACAAGCGTGCTACGGTCGCGTCGCGGTTGGTATGTCAAAACTCAAAATTAAGCTAGACTAGTCATGTTTAGGTTCATTTTGAAACTCAAAACGTTACAAATTTGGATATCTAACATCCAAGCAGCTATTTCTCAAGTTCAGTGAAAAAATGAGTAAAAAAGACGGTTCAAATTTTTTTAGAATTAAAATTTTTATGTCATAACTTTTGTTATTTTCCAGATTTTTAGTTGAAACCCATATTTTCGAATTTGCCGCGTTTTCAGCTTCAAAATGAGCCTAAACTTGACTAGGCTAGCTCCATTTTGAATATTTACCTACTGAACGCGACGCGACCGCAACGCACTGGTCGAAATTCAAACTTGAGCTAGATTAGTTGTGTTCGAGCTCAGTTTGAAGCTCTTTGCATCCTAGTTGCACATAACTAGCTTAATAACCTTGAAGTTTTTAAAAAATCTGAAAATTTGCAACAGAAATCAAAAATTCTAAATTGCAAGAATTTTCAAAGGGACATAACTTTGTCCAAAATGAAGCTAGCTTAAAATTTTTTATTGTTTTGAACTTGTCTTATTAAGAGCTTCAAAAAAAGCATAAACACGACTAGGCTCCGCCCATTTTGAGATTCTAGGTCAGAGACGCAGTGTGTCTCGCTTCTCTGCACTCTAACCTTTAGCTTAAAGGTACTGGAACTTTCTTAGTTTTAGTTCAATTATGCTGAAAACTACAGCAATTAATTTGGCTAATCAAGATCTTCAAAATGAGCATAAACATGTCTAGGATAACTCAATTTTCAATTTTTCGGGGTCCATGCGCCTTTGAACTTGAAAAATCAAAGTGGGCGGAGTCTAGTCGTGTTTATGCTCATTTTGAAGCTCTTGACCAGCCAAATCGAATGCTTTAACTTTCAACAAAATCCGACCAAAATTAAGGGAGTTACGGTAGTTTGAAAAGAGTGCAGAGAAGCTAGAGTGCAGAGAAGCGAGACATATTGCGTCTCTAACCCACTTGAACGGAATATAGGCTTGTTTATACTCATTTTGAAGTTCTTCACGTGTCAAATTCCAATTTTGATGTTTAAAACCTCTTTTTTTTTTGTTTTTCTGCCAAAAGGAACAACTAACAAGTACCATACCATAACTAGTTATATCCAAACACACACACACCCATCTTCATTTTCTTTCACTCTTTTTTTTTGTTTTTCCTGTTTTTCTCCTTTCTTCACTAATTTTTTTTTGCACACACTTACTTTAATTGCTTTTGTTTAAGGTAATTTGCTGCCTTTTTTGTTTTTTGCCAGAATTTCAGTATTTTATTCTCAAATTTCACCACTTTATCGCTTTTAAATTGTTTTTAATCCTTAATTTTTATATTTAGCTTGTTGAGAGCTTCAAAATAAGCCCAAACACGACTAGTCCAGCTCAATTTTGAATTTCGACCTGTGCGTTGCGGTCGCGTCGCGGTTGGTAGATCGAAATTTAAAATTGAGCAATCCTAGACGTGTTTGGGCTCATTTCAAAGCTCATTACGTTCTAAAGTTGAATTTCTTGTTATCAAATCTCAATTTTTAAATCTCAACCCAAGAAATCGTGATTTTCCAGATGCCGTTACCACTGTGCCGGTGCCGGGTACTGTACATTGGCAGTTCGGTACCAACCATCACCAAAGATGGACTTCAAGGCATTCAACAACCATTGAAAGAGAGATATCCAATTCAGGAGTCGCCGGATACCCGGGGTATTGATTCTTGGTGAGTGGAGTCCTAACTTGTGAATTTGAAAATATTTTCTTATTTTTCTAGGTTCAAATTCAAAGTTTTCGAATTGAAACTTAAAAATTCGAATTTACCGCGTTGAGAGCTTCAATGAGCCCGAACATGGCTAGTCTAGCTCAACTTTGAAATTACATCTACCAACCGCGACGCGACCGCAACGCAATGGTCGACATTCAAAATTAACAGATTCTAGTTGTGTTTGGGCTCATTTTCAAGCTCAAAACCTAACAAATTCAAATATCGAAATTTCAATCAGCAATTTTTCAAATTTAAAAGCTATATTGGCAAAACAGGGTAATTCAAAAACTTGTGAAACAATTAATTTTTGTCAGAACTCCCTTCATAATCAAGATTTTTAGTTGAAATTTATATCTTTGAATTTGTGGCGTTTTGAGCTTTAAAATGAGTCCAAACACGACTAGTCTAGCTTGATTTTGAATTTTGACCTGCGCGTTGCGGCCCCGTCCCGGTTGGTAGGTCAAAATTCAAAATTGAGATAGACTAATCGTGATTAGGCTCATTTTAAAGCTCAAAACCTAGCAAATTCGAATATCTAAAGTTCAATCAGCTATTTTTCAACTTCAGTAAGAAAATCGCTGAAAAAAGGTAATTCAAATTTTTTTAGAATTTAAAATTTTATGTCATGACTTCCTTTATTTTCCAGATTTTCAGTTGAAACTTATATTTTCGAATTTGCCCCGTTTTAAGCTTCAAAATGAGCCTAAACTTGACTAGTCTAGCCCAATGTGATTTTCGACCTCCGCGTTGCGGTTGCGTCGCGGTTGGTAGGTCAAATTTCAAAGTTGAGCAATCCTAGGCGTGTTTGGGCTCATTTCAAAGCTCTTTTTATCCCAAATTGGTCTTAAACAGACTAAAACAAGAAAAAGTTTGTTTTCAGGCTCTCCGTCTGGTCGAATGGTGTCCTTTTGGAGTATATTGAAGGCGAGAAGAAGACGGAAACCGTATTTTTCCCGATTATCACTCTGCATTATTGTGCCGCTGTTCGATATGTGAACGTTGGAGAGTTGAGTGTAGCTGGCGGCGGTGAGCAATTCATGCCACTGGATTCCCCCTTTGCCAATATCCCACATTCTCCCCATCCACCGATTTTCGCGGCCATTTTCCGGCGGACCACTGGTGTCAAGGTTCTAGAATGTCACGGATTCATTTGTACAAATGTCAAGGCTGCAAATGCGCTCGTTCGATGCATGGTCCATGCTTATACAGAAACTATGCATTTGAGAATGGATGAACGGATTCCAGGTGAGTCTTGACCCTTTAAAGGCACATAACCCTATCTAAGCTTTGTATTTTTTTTGTCTTGAAACTGGGATTTCTGACTTTGTGACGTTTTGAGCTTCAAAATGAGCTCAAACACGACTATAATCTTTTAACCTTGAGAATTGAGGTCAGAGACGCAGTGTGTCTCGCTTCTCTGCACTATAGCTTTTTTAAGAACTACCGTAACTCCCTTATTTTTTGTCAGATTTTGCAATAAACTTAAGCAATCGATTAAGCTAACTATGAGCTTTAAAATGAGCATAAACACGACTAGACTCCGCCCACTTTGATTTTTCGACTTTAAAGGCGCACAAGGGTCCGAAATTTCGAAATTCAGCCAAAATAAGCGTGTGGGTACTCATTTTGAAGCTCTTGGCGTGACAAATCAAAATCCATTTGAAAAAACAAAAAATTTTGACGTTGACGCAAGTTATGGTCATTAGGACCGTTTTTCGATACCCCATGCGCCTTTAAAGTCAAAATATAAAAATTGTGGGCCTTGTGGGTACTCATTTTAAAGCTCTTTACAAGACAAATCTAGATTTTTCCTTTAAAAACTCAAATTTGTCATGTTTAGGCTCATTTCTAGGTCACCATTGGTGTAATTCTAGGCCATATCAGTAAGACAAGCGTTATCAACCCCATAACTTCCTGTGAAATCGAAAAAACTGAAAATTCTTAAAATATTTGATTTGGCTTGTTAAGAGCTTTGAAAAAAGTCCCACTCGCCTAGGTTGACTAAAATCCAAAATTTCGGACCCCTATGCGCCTTTAAAGTCTAAAAACCAAACTGGGCGGAGTCTAGACGTGTTTAGTCTTATTTTAAAGCTCTCACCAAGGCAAATCAATTTCTCTAGTTTTCTATGAAATTGAGCAAAAACTAAAAAAGTTACGGTAGTTTGTAAGCAGACTAGAGTACAGAGATACGAGACACACTGCGTCTCTAACCTATTTTCAGTGGGACCTAGTCATGTTTATACTCATTTTGAAGCTCAAAACATGCCAAATTCAGAAATTTAAGTCCCACATCTTAAAACATTCTCATTTTCAGGTCTCAAAGCGATCAAAGAAGGAGAAGGATCCACAGGCGAACGTTCCCCCAACTCGCCATCCAGTGAAATCGAGGAGAACTCGTTTGAAGAAGACGTGCCACATGGAATCGAGGAGAAGAATATGAAGAACTGGCAAGAGAGACGACAACAGGACGGCGAGTACGATAGCGTATCGATAAGTAGCAGTTTGGTGAATCACAACAAGAATAAGAAGGCCGCTAGTGAGACTGGTGAGCGTTTATATCAATTTTGAGCGTAAAATTTGAATTCGGGAGAGTGAGGGCTTCAAAATGAGCCCAAACACTACTAGGCTAGCTCAATTTCGAGTTTTGACTAGTGCGCTGCGGTTGCGTTGCGGTTATAGATCAAAAATCAAAATTAAGCTAGACTAGTCGTGTTTGCGCTCATTTTAAAGCTCTAAATATGGCAAATTCAAAAAAAACATTTTAAGAAAAAAAATTTTAAGCAAAAGAGTTTTCAGGGAAAATAAAAATTTTTCAATTTTTCAAAAATTTCCTTTTTGGTCATAACTATCTTCCATTATGAAAAATTGCATTGAAACTCAGATTTTTGGGTTCATCGCGTTCAGAGCTACAAATTTTGTTTAAGGTAATTTGCTGCCTTTTTTGTTTTTTGCCAGAATTTCAGTATTTTATTCTCAAATTTCACCACTTTATCGCTTTTAAATTGTTTTTAATCCTTAATTTTTATATTTAGCTTGTTGAGAGCTTCAAAATAAGCCCAAACACGACTAGTCCAGCTCAATTTCAAATTTTGACCAGTGCGTTGCTGTCGCGTCGCGGTTGGTAGGTCGAAATTCAAAATTGAGCTATCCTAGTCGTGTTTAGGCTTATTTTAAAGCTCTTGACGTGGGAAGTTCAAAATTGCTGGTTTCAAAACAAAATGTTGATGTTTAGGTCGGATTATGCGCCTTTCAAGTGTCCCAATTCACTAAAAATGCGTTCATCAAACGAAAAATCGATTTTTCAGGCGGAATCCGCGGAGCACTCGTTCCATTCGAAGAGCCCATGAGACGTGCGGGATCTGACAACGATTTGTCCTATCGAGGTCCCCCATATGGTGGCAATCCTCACCCCATGCACCATGGCTACCCCATGATGGCTCCACCTCCACCATTTGGCTTCTTCCCACCACCACCGCCACGTGGCTTCGTGCCCCCACCCCATTTTATGGGTCGTATGGGACCACCACCCCATCATTTCATGGGTCCACCGCCCCCGCATTTCCCCATGGGACCACCGCCACGTGGCTTCATGCCTCCACCACACCCTATGATGTTCCGGGGACCATATCCCCCATTTTTCCCACCCCCGCCCCCGCATTTTATGCGTCCCAACTCACCACCACCTGGTGATGGACCCATTATCACTGGACCCGAATCGGTATACGGTACCATGCCACGTGGAAGAGCGTACGAGGAGCCGGCCTATGTTGGAGCCACTGGAGGATTTCCAGAAGCATCTTATCAGCCAGGGAACTACGGTGGCGATGGTTATGAGACCTATTATGACACTTTTAAGAAGAGAAATGGGACCATTAAAAAAGGAGAGTCCGCTTCCATGGCTGCGTCGGACAGTCAATGGGACCAATATGAGGCTGGGATTTATAGAAAACCACATATTAATGAGAAAGCCTTTTCGGGAACTTTAAGGTGAGTTTGATTTTTGAATTTGGGAGATTGAGAGCTTTGAAATAAGCTCAAACACGACTAGGATAGCTCAATTTTGAGTTTTGACCTACGCGTTGCGGTTGCGTCGCGGTTGGTATGTCGAAATTCAAAATTGAGCTAGCCTAGTCGTGTTTAGGCTCATTTTGAAGCTCTCAACAAGCCAAGTTTGATGCTATATACAAAATATTGAGTTTTCAATTTTCTAGGCCACACTCGGAAAATATAGGATTTTTCAAATTACCGTAACTTTCTTAGTTTTTACCGTCTTTCATTGAAATGTTCATGATTTTATTTGTCTTCTTGAGAGCTTCAAAACTAGCCTAAACACGACTAGTCTAGCTCAATTTCGAGATTTGACCTACGCGTTGCGGTCGCGTCGCGGTTGGTAGGGCAAAACTCAAAATTGAGCTAGCCTGGTCGTGTTTGGGCTTGTTTTGAAGCTAAAAACGCACTGAATTCACAAATTCCAGTGAAAATCAGAAAAAAAGCTTTCAAAAAGTTTTATATCTAAAATAATTATTTTATCTACTTTGCACAAAAAAAAACATCCATATTTCCAGATCCATGGCTGCCAAAGAGACCAGCAATGCGACTTTGAATCGATCGGAGCACGCTGAAGTCGCATCGCAAACTGTTGAAACTGAGGTATGTCTTTCTCAATAGAGCGCGAAGCCCGCGAAATTTGAATGTTTCAAAAAAATTGATTTTTTTTCAGATAACTCGTCCAGACTCCCCACCAGTCGACTATGAAGCTTTCGAGAAGCTGAAATTGAAGGAAAAACGTGCGGCGGCGCAGGCGACAAATTGATTTTTGAATTTTTGAAAAAAATCGATTATCGATTTTTTGACCTAAAACTTTTAATACATATTTTAAGCTCTGAAAACCGCCAATTACTGGTCCACTCAACAGATTTATATTTTTATTTTAAAGCATTTTTTGTCCTAAATTTTCTAAAAAAATCAATATCTTGTGCCTTCCTTTTAAGTATTTTTTGACATATATAATAATTTGCATTCCATTGAATTTTATCGATTTTTGTAATTTTTTTTTTGTAATAAATCCTTCAATTTTCCCCGAAAAAAACAGGTTTTTATCGAGAAAGTCGGCGAAAAATCCGATAAAAAACTAGTGAACCGTAGTTTTTTTTAAAGGCGCACAGCTAAAAAGTTTGTAAGGTCTCACCACGAAAAGCGAATTTTTGACTTTTAAAGCTGTTTTTCAGTGTTTTTTTTGCACTTTTTTTGCTGGAATTTTGATTTTAAATTTTTTCTCTTAATTATTCACACATTATTTTACCAGAAATATCCGAAAGTTGCAGCAAAAATCGCTTAAAACGCTGAAAATTCGTTTTAAAAAATTTGCTACCGTACTTCAAAGGCGCAACATCGCAATATTATTGGCGTCTCGCCGCGAAACTTTTTTATTCTGTTTTTCGTCGATTTTTAGCTTATTTTCAGCCGTTTTTCTTCGTTTTTTTCTGCAATTTTCTCCATTTTTCCAGCTGAAAATGGTCAAAATCGCTGATTGTAGCTTTATGCTACCGTTGCCAACGTTCCAGCCGACGCGACACTGCTGTGGATGTGTTTCAAACCGAGTAAGAAGAAAAAAGGCTAATAAAAGCTGAAGAAGCTTGAAATTATAGCTAAAAATTCAAAAAAAAAATCACGAAAAATCGATCCAGATATGTCAAAGATCCAATTTTTTGGCCAAAAAATTTTTTTTTTAAATTCAAGTTCCCGCCGAAACCGCTCCAGACCAAAATTTATCGATTTTTAGGTTTTTTTCCACCTCCTAACCGCGCTGACGATCCCCCAAATTCTGTGCATTCTCGCAATTTCCATTCCACCGATCCAGAAGAGTTTCCTGCCGAGTTTCCCAAAAATCGATAATCAATGGTGTCTGATTGTGATCGGTGCGATATCGATTTTATGGATCATATCGATTATTTTGAGTTTCATCGCACTAATCGAGAAAATTCCATATTTGATGGCACCGTTAACGTTCATTGAGGTAAATTTTGAAAAATTGTTGAAAATCCGCTAAAATCGCTGAAAATTGACTGGTAATGTCTAAAAAACACCTGAAATCACTAAAAATGAGCCTGAAAACGCTGAAAATAGACCTTAAAATGCCTAAAACCGGCTAAAAATCGCCTAAAGCGACCTAGGAGGCTTTAGGCCCTGCTTTGGCAATTTTCAGGCAATTCTAAGGCAAAAATAGTCGAAAAACAGCTTAATATCATTACAAAAACACTTCAAATTAGCCTAGAATTGGCCTAAAAGTGCCTAAAATGGCCTAATTTGGCCTAGAAGACTTTAGGCCTATTCAGGCCAGTCTAGGCCATTTCTAGCCTACTTTAGGCGTATTTTGAGTCAGTTTAGGCTCATTTAAACCTATTTTGGGTCTTTTTACGCCTATTTTAGGCCCATTTAAGGCTAGTTTGGGACATTATCGGCCTAGGTTAGGCCTAGGTTGGGTCCTTTTTAGGCTAATTTTAGGCCTAAAAAAGCTATTTTGAGCTTATTTTTAGCCTATTCAAACCGATCTCGGGTCATTTTAAGCCTAATTTTAGCTCATTTTTGACTAGTTTGGGTCATTTTAGGCCTATTTTAACCTATTTCAAGCCTATTTTAGGCTTATTTTAGGCTTATTTTAGCCTAATGTAGGCTTATTTTAAGCCTATTTTAAGCCAATTTAAGCTTGAAATTTCCATTTCTTGCAGGCGTTCTTCCTCATCTCGTCCACGTCGATGTCCGTCGCATTCGCCTGGTCCCTCTCGGCCCAAAATGAACGAAATGCGCTTTTCAACGGGATACTGTGTCTCTCCATGGCCGTTTTCCATGGATTATTCACGTTTTGTACGTATTTCGAGTGGAAAGATGGCAAAAAACGGCGAGAAGTCGAGGAATTTGTTGCTAGGCAGCGAGTTTTCGATGATGTCTGTGATGAGATGTTGAGGGAGGAGCAGGAGGCCGAAGAAGCCGCGATGCGATATGAACAACACAAGTAGGGAGCAGAAATTGGCTGAAAATAGTCGAAAATGGGCTGAAAAATGGCTGAAAATGAGCCGAAAACCGTGCCTGAAATAGCTTATAATCGTGAATAAGCCGCCTAAAATCGTGCCTAAAATCCAGAAAATTGGCTAAAAATGAGCCTAAAATTCGTGACAAACGCCCGAAATCGAGCCTAAACCTGTGAAAATTGGCTGAAAATTGGCTGGAAACGAGCCTGAAATAGCCTAAAATCGTGAAAACGAGCCTAAAATAGCCTAAAATAGTGGAAATTGGCTGAAAATGAGCCTGAAAACATGAAAAAACGCCTAAAATCCATCCTAAAATAGCTGAAATTCGTGAAAAATGAGCCAAAAACGAGCCTCGAATCGTGCCTAAAACCGTGCCTCATGAAAAAGCCTAAAACCGAGCCAAAAATCCAGAAAAAATGGTTGAAGATGGGCCTAAAATCGTGAAAATTGGCTGAAAATTGGCTGAAATTGAGCCTAAAACCGTGCCCATAATCATGGAAAACGCCTAAAACCGAGCCTGAAATCATTAAAAGGCCAAAAATCGAGCCTAAAACAGCCTAAAAATAATAATTTTAGGTTAATTTTCAGCGATTTTCAGTCTATTTTCAGCCTAAAATGACCCAGTTTTAGTTGTTTTTGGATCATTTCAAGTCAATTTTAACGATTTTCAGCTTATTTCCAGTCATTTTCAGCTATAAATAACCCAATTTTTGCGGTTTTGGACAATTTTCAGCCACAAACGACCCGTTTTTTGAACCATTTTCAGCCAGAAGTGACCCATTTTTAGTCGTTTTCAGCTGTTGTTTCAGCCAAAAATGTCCGATTTTTTCTTCAATTATTAGCCTATTTTAAGCCAAAAATAACCCAAATTTTGAATGTTTTTGGATCATTTTCAGCTAAAAATGCCTCAATTTTAGCCATTTTTAGTCAATTTAGAGCCAAAAATAACCCAATTTTATCTGTGTTTTTGGACCATGTCAGGTCCCAATTTTCAGCGATTTTCAGCCTATTTTCAGTCATTTTCAGCCAAAAACTCCCCAAAATTTCCAGACACTACCGCCATCATCAACTGACACGCTACACAGACGAATCTGGCGGCTCGCTGTCCGAGTACTCGGTCTCAATTTGCTCATCGGAAATGAGAGTACTGTACAATGAGAGTACGATACTACAGTACCACCATCAACAACACCACCCAGCTACAGTATACTATCCAAATGACACGTATCCTCAATATTTGCCACGTCATCATGCAGCATACGACGAGAGGGATGATAATGATAATGTGTACATTTAGGCCCATTTTAGGTCATTTTTAGGCCCATTTAGACCCCAAAAACCCCATTTTTGACCCATTCTAAGGCTTTTAAAATTGATTTTCAGCCATTTATGACCCCAAAATCTCGATTTTCTCATTTTTTGGCCTGTTTTGACCCTTTTTAATGCCATTTTCCCCATTTTTTTTTGTTTTTTCAACCCCCAAGAATTGCTTTTTTGCCCATTTTCAGCTAACTTTCAGCCTAAAAATCGCCGATTTTAGCATTTTTTGACCAGATTTCAGCCAATTTTCAGCCAAAAGAATCGATTTTTATCTCTTTTTGGCCAATTTTTGACGATGTCAGACGTTTAATGGATAATTTTTAGCTCAAAAACCGTATTTTCCGATCATTTTTTGCTGAAAATCGGCCATTTTTAAGCATTTTGTAGTCCACTTTTCATGATTTTTTGGCTGAAAATCGGCATTTTTTGGCCCATTTTTTCGCATTTTCTGTGAAAAATCTCAAGTGAAAAAATCTTCCCCTATTGACCGGAAAAAAAACTATAATTTTTGATTTTTCATATTTTTTTCTGAAAATTTGAAAATTTTGAAAAAAACTTCTTTTGAAAATTTTCTGATTTTTTTTTGAATTTCGAGGAATATTTTCAGCGAAATTTCTGATTTTTTAATTGATTTTATCGATTTTAAGGCTGAAAAATTGATTTTTTGAAGTTTTTCAGCCAAAAATTCGAAATTTGAATTTTTTGATTTTTTTTTTGAAATTTTCAGTATCGCAGTTAAATTTTGCGTTTCTCTAGTTAATTTTGAGAGCGAAATCTCGAAAATTTTGCGTCGGAAAAGTTGGATGTTCAAAATTTTCAGCCAAAAATTCGAAATTCGAATTTTTATAAGAATTTTCGATTTTTTTTGGTTTTTTCAGCAAAAATTAACAATTTTAAGCAATTTCCGACAACTAAAACCATGATTTTGAGGGCGAAAACTTCAAATTTCATCATTTTTCGAATTTTTGGCATTTTTATGTTTTTTTTTTTATTTTTAGCATTTTTTTTTGAATTTTTAGATTTTCAGCATTTTTTTGCAATTGTTACAGCAAAATTCCACAACTTTCATCGTAATTTCGGCCCTGAAACTCTGAAAATCCCTGAGAAAAACCTGCTTAAATAAAAAGAAAGAAAACCCAACTCGCGCGCCGCACACTTGCGAAAACCCCTGCCGCAGGCTTGCCGAAAAGTGGGCGGAGCTTCCCAACATACACGTGTCGCACCCGGATCACCCGATTTTCAACCGTTTTTCACTGATTTTTTTGGTTTTTTTCTGAAAATTTCCAATAAAAATTGATTAATTACCCTAATTACAGATAATTATCCATAATTAGCCGGTCAAAAACCGAATGGAACCGTCCAAATGGTCAGGTGTCATTTTAGTGAGTTTTTCGCCGTTTTTAGGGTCAAATTTCGCGAAAAACTCGATTTTCAGGCTCTCATCGTCCTATTTCATGCCGGTTACACTGCTAAACAGGCCGTAGTCTCTCGAAAATCAAAATTATGCGGGAATACCGAGTGTGAAGGTGATTTTTCGGGATTTTTCGATTTTTAGCCAATTTTTTGGATTTTTTCCAGAAATTCTATTCAAAGCACGCGTCAAACGGGTGATGGGCGTCAATAACGATCCGAATTTTCTGAATTTGGCCGAAAACGCGATCATTTCGGTGGTGGCGGTGAAGTTCAGCGATCGACCCGATATTATGGAGGGAAAAGTGGGTTTTATCGATTTTTAGAGGGTTTGAAGTGTGAAAAATCGGAAAAATCACGAAATTTTGGTCTAGAAAGTCTGAGAAATGACTGAAAATGCGGTTTTTTAACCTTGAAAAAATTTTGAAAAATCAAAAAAAAAAATTTTTTTCGTTCGAAAATTTTAATTTTCAACTCGATTTTTGTCGTTTTTGAAGCTCAAAATTGTGATAAAAACCAATTTTCCATCTTAAAATCTCGAAAAATTGTCATTTTTCGTCATTCTAGGACTATTTTAAGCCATTTCCAGTTTTAACACAAAAAATCCGATTTTCAGCCATTCTAAAGGCATTTTCAGCCCATTTTAGTCCAAAAAATTGGAATTATCATGAAATTTCGGTCTTGAAAGTTGGAAAATGGCTGAAAATCCATTTTTGGCAAATTTCAAATTTAAAAAAATTCTATTTGTGGTGAAAATCCGACTTTTTGATTTGAAAATATCGGATTCTCAGGCATATTTAGCTATTTTGGAGCATTTTCAGTCGTTTTATAGACAATTTCAGCCCAATTTTAACCCTGAAAATCTGAAAAATCGCGAAATTTTGGTTTAAAAAAGTTTAAAAATAGCTGAAAATCCATTTTTGGCAATTTTCAAAAACTCAATTTTTGGTGAAAATTGACTTTTTGGCTCGAGAAATTGGACTTTACAGGCATTTTTAGCTATTTTGGAGCATTTTCAGTCATTCTAGAAGCATTTTCAGCCAATTTTAACCCCCAAACTTGGGGAAATCACGAAGTTTTTGTCTAATAACGTTGAAAAATTACTGAAAATCTATTTTTAGTAAATTTCAATATTTTCAAAAAATTCAATTTTTAGTTAAAAATTGACTTTTTGGCTCGAAAATTTCGAATTTTCTGAAAAATTAAATTTTTAGTGAAAATTTTTGATTTGAAAAATATGATTTTTTGCGATATTAGAGGCATTCTAGGGTCATTTTCAGCCCATTTTGACCTTAGTTTACCCCGAAAAGCCCTGAAATTCGCTCAAAAATAGATTTTTTAGGACCAAAAATCTGAAAAATCACAAAATTTCGTTCTAGAAAGTCTGAAAATCCATTTTCGGCAAATTTCAAATTTTTAGGTAAAAATGGACTTTTCGGCTCGAAAAATATCAGATTCCAGGCATTTTTAGCTATTTTGTAGCATTTTCAGTCGTTTTATAGACAATTTCAGCCCATTTCAACCCCGAAAATTGGGAAAGTCACGAAATTTTGGTTTTAAAAAGTTTAAAAATAGCTGAAAATCCATTTTTGGCAATTTTCAAAATTTTCTGAAAAATTAAATTTTTAGTGAAAATCCGACTTTTTGATTTGAAAATTTCGATTTCAGCCCTTTTTAGTGATACTTATACGCCAAAAAATCCGATTTTTTAGCATTTCCTAGCTATTCTAGAGGCATTTTCAGCCAAGCTTTTCATCACCCAAACCTCTCAAAATTCCCATTTTCAGCTAAACGGCGAGGGGCCCTCGGGTTTCTTCTACGTCGGCGCCATCGACATCCTGCCATTCGCCGAATTTCTACGCTCAGCGATCGACGAGAAGAAGGAGATGCTGATGATATCACAGAATCCATCAGACACTGGTGATAAGCGAATCGTTGGATTCGTTCACTCGGAAACCGACCTGGTCCGCGATTATAACGCTAAAAACGCGCAGGCAGCGGCTGAAAATGGTCTTCCAGCCCCAGAACCGCTTCCAATTCCCGAGCCGGCGCATTCTGGAGGTCATGGGCACAGTCATGGTGGTCATGGACACTCTCACGGGGGTCATGGGCACAGTCATGGGGCGCCGAAGGCTCAAGAAGTGCCAGAAACCCGGAAAATTCCTTCTGAAAACGCTCCAGAAGTCGTGAAAATGCCAGATTTGACTCCAGAAGTGGCTGAAAAAGCAGCTCCAGAAGCAGCTCTAAACCTCCAAAATGTGCTCGGCAACGCCCAGAATGCTCAAAATGCTCCAAAAATTGCCCTGCCCGATATGGAGCAGGAAATTGATCGAATGATCAGAGAAGAGGAGGAAAGGATGGCAAAAGCCCTGGAAAAATCAGAGAAATCCCCGGAAGAGCCGCTGATTTTGAGCTCACAGCCGATTGCTCAGCCTAACGAGGCATCTACAGTAACCCAGAAAGTCGAGGAGCAGGCTACAGTTACCCAGGAGCCCATTGCTCAAGATAATGCAGTAACCCAGAAGATCGAGGAGCCCGCTGTTCAGCCTACAGAGCCCATTGCTCAGCCTGCAGAGGCTCCAGAGCCCATTGCTCAGCACGCTACAGTAACCCCAGCTCCAGAAATCTCTCCAGAAGCCGTCCCACCTCCGCCAATAGCTCAGTACATCCCGCCCACAACTACAGTACCCCCACCAATTGCTCAGGAGCCAGAAGCTACAGTACCCCCAGTTGTCGAGCAGCCAGCTACCACTACAGTATCCCCGATAGCTGAGCATCCAACTACAGTACCCCCAACGGTTGCTCAGCAGCCAGAAGAGCCAACTACAGTAGTACCACCACCAGCGACGATTCCAGAAGCTCAATCGCTTCCAGTGGGACAGGACGAGCTTACGGTAGGTCGTTTTTTTTTAAAGCTGGGCAATCCTAAATTAGCAAATTTAGAGTCAAAATGCTCTGAAAATGGAGATTTTTGAGCCAAAATACTCGAAAAAATGGCTGGAAATGGTCCAAAATTGACTGAAAATCGAGATTTTCCCTTTTTTTATTCTGAGCAATATCCCCCCTGTTTTTCAAGGGCACCTGCTACAAAGAGAATTGTGATGGATTGCAGACACCAACGCCTCCAGAAGCCGTCACGACGCCTCCAGAAGCTGCTCCAGAATCCCACCACGCGCACGCGCACGACGTCCACGGACACAGTCATTCAGAAGACGTCGCTCCAGAAGTTCCAGAAGCAACTACAGTACCCCCTGCATCTCCAGAAGAGGAGGAATTCTTGAAATGGGAAGAAGAACGACGTAAAAAACGAGAAGCCGCCCCCGCTGAGCCCTATGAGGACGCCCAGGGACACCAATTCCTTCCGCCCACGCCGCCACCAACGTCTTCTGGAATTCTGGAGGTGATTCGAAGCTCGTTGGGCGTCGGAAACGTCACGGATGGCACGATTTTGATGTATATCAACTTGACGTTCGTCCTAGCCTCCTTCGTTTTCTATATTATCGTCAGAAGCTTGTCTTCTGGAGGTGATTCGACGGATATTATGGAGAGACAGTGAGTTTTAGGCTTGAGAGTGCTGAAAATGACCCCGAAATAACTGAAAATGGTGATAGAACGGCTGAAAATGAGCCTAAAACGTCTAATTTGACCGTTTTTTCCACGATTTTTGACCTGAAAATCGACGTTTTGTCTGAAATTTCATGATTTTTGACCAGAAATTCCCTCGAAATTTCAATTTTTGGCTGAAAAAGTCTAAAAATCCAATTTCAGAGCCTACTTCGAGCTGATGACGAAACACAAACAGCTTCTTCTCCAACTTCAAGCCAAAGAAGCTGAAATTAGGAATCTTCAGCAGAATGGAGTCCAACAACAACAACAACAACAGCAACAACCCCAACAACAGATGCCAAATCACGAGCCAGAGCTGTTGGCGTTGAGAGAGCAGTGAGTTGGGGCTGAAAATGGTTGAAAACAGGCTGAAATTGGTCAAAAAATGGCTGAAAACCTCTAAAAATACTCCTGAAATGAGCAAATTTAGAGTCAAAATGCTTTGAAAATGATCAAAAATACCTCTAAAATGACATAACATCGTCTAAAATCGGCTGAAAATGATTCAAAATTCGGTAAAATAGACCAAATATGGCTGAAAACCTCTAAAAATACCCCTGAAATGAGCAAATTGGCTGAAAATGATTCAAAACTGACTTTAAATGCTCTGAAAAAGGCTGAAAATTGTCCAAAATAGACTGAAAGAGGGCCAAAATTGGCTGAAAATCTTTAAAGTACTTCCTAAAATGAGCAATTTTGAGCCAAGATGCTCAGAAAATGGCTGAAAATTGACTGAAAATAAGCTAAAAATAACCAAAAAATGAGCAAATTTAGAGTCAAAATGCTTTGAAAATGATCAAAAAGCTCTAAAATACACTTCGAATGACCTAAAATGATCTGAAATTCGCTTAAAATAGACCGAAAATGGCTGAAAATCACTAAAAATAGCCCTTTAATGAGCAATTTCGATTCAAAATGCTCTGAAAATGACGAATTTTGAGCCAAAATACTTTGAAATTGGCTGAAATAGGCCCAAAATGCTGTGAAATTGCCCCGAAAATCAGAATTTGTGGGTCAAAACGCTAAAAATGGCTGAAACTTGTCTGAATTCTGCTGAAAATTGTCTAAAATTGACTGAAAATCATCTAAAAATAGCTGAAAATGACGAATTTTGAGTTAAAAACCTCTGAAAATGGCTGAAATTACTCGTAAAATGAATATTTTTGAGCCAAAATGCTCGGAAAATGACTGAAAATTGAATGAAAATAAGCTAAAAATAACCAAAAAATGAGCAAAGTTAGAGTCAAAATGCTTCGAAAATGATCAAAAATACCTCTAAAATGACCGAAAACGTCTAAAATCGGCTGAAACTTATCCAAAATTGGCTGAAAATCACTAAAATACACCTGAAATGAGCAATTTCGATTCGAAATGCTCTGAAAATGGCTGAAAATGAGCAATTTTGAGTCGATAAGCGCGGAAAATGGCTGAAATTCGCTGCTGAATTTCCCCCAAAAAAAACAAATTTTGAGCTAAAATGAGCAATTTTCAGAGTCCAACACCTGCAAAACGAGCTCCAAACGTCTCTAAACCAACGTCGCGACTTTGAAATCCACTACAACCAGCTCCGCGACGCTGCGGAGCAAAAAGAATCAACGATCGCTCAGCTCAACGAGACAGCCAACGACTACAAGGAACGTCTTCAGAAGGCGTCGGACGAGATTCAAGACTGGGCACGACAACTGGACACGACGAGGGCGGAGCTCAACGAACTACAACAAACGGCATACGGTAGACAGCAGGAGGCGATTGAACGACGTCAGCAGGAGGGTGACGAGTATGAGCAGAAGATTCAGGAGCTGACGTCGGAGAAGAAGGCGTTGGCTGGAAGGATTCAGAATCTGGAGGAGGACTTTGAGAGGGTCCAACGGCAATTGGAGGAGGAGAGAGAGCTGAATTCAGGGTTGCAAGGAAGCGTACAGAGGCTGGAAACGGAGCTAGAGGCTTCTAAGAACGCTAACGACGCCGCTGAATCCGGAGGATCTGGATGGTCGGACTGTGGAGATATTGAAGACGTGGAGAAGGAGAAGGACCTTCAGAAGGTTCTGGAGGACGATGAGAACCTCCAAAAGGCTCAGAAGGAGACGCAGGAGGAATTATCCAGGCTCAAACTGAAATTAGAGCAGTCTGAAAAGGAGGCCACCCGCTACCGTAATCTCTATGAGCGCCAGAACGAGACGGAGAGTCGTGGAGCAATAGAAATCGAGCTGAAACTGAAAAATGCTGAAAACGAGATACAGGAGGCGAGAAGAAAGATTGAGGAGCTCAGTGGGGAGAAGAAGGAGCTCGGAGATCGGCTCAACGAGATGCTCAAGAATCTGAATTCGACGATGAGCAAGGCGGCTGATAATGATAAGATGTTCACGACGCTTCGAGATGAGGCATTTGCCAAGGATAAGCAGCTTCTGGAGACGGACGCTGTGATAAGGAAGAAGGACGAGAAGATTCGCGAGCTAGATGCCAGTGTTAAGAGGATTGAGGTGCGTTTTTGGTTGAAAAGTGGCTGAAAATCGTGGTTTTTTGGCTCTAAAATAGCTTAAAATGGTCTGAAAATTGACTGAAAATTACCCTGAAATCGCTCCAAAACGGTTCAAAAAGGTTCAGGCTGAAATCTCTCAAATTTTGGCTTAAAATGAACTGAAAATGGCTGGAAATTTGTCAAAAATTGTAAAAATCGACTATAGTACCCTTCAAATAGGCTGAAATAGCTGAAAATGACCTGAAATTCAATAAAAATCATTTGAAATTGATCTGTATTCAATATGCCATGTTCAGTCTCAAATTCGCTGAATATTCGGTTGAAAACAGGCTGAAAATGGCCCGAAATTGACTAAAAATGGCTAAAAATCACTAAAAATACACCTGAAATGAGCAAATTTGGCTGAAAATGACCGAAAATTGTCCAAAATTGACTTGAAGTACTCTGAAAATGGCTGGAAATCGACTGAAAATGAGCTAAAAATATTCAAAAATGAGCTATTTTGAGCCAAAATGCTTTGGAAGTGATCGAAAATACCTCTAAAATGACCGAAAATCGTCTAAAATCGGCTGAAAATGGTCCAAAATTGACCAAAAATGGCTAAAAACCCCTAAAAATATACCTGAAATGAGCAATTAGAGCTACAATGCTGGAAAAATGAGGCAAAATCACTGAAAAATACCCCTAAAATGAGCAATTTCGGGTGAAAATGCTCTGAAAATGGCTGGAAATGGCGAATCTAGAGCTACAATGCTGGAAAAGTGAGGCAAAATCACTGAAAAATACCCCTAAAATGAGCAATTTCTGGTTAAAATGCTCTGAAAATGGCTGAAAATTGACTGAAAATGATTCAAATTCTTCTGAAAAGGTCCAGTCTTCACTAGAAATAATCTGAAATCGACTGAAAATGATCCAGAATTGGCTGAAAATATGTCTAAAATGAGTTGTCATGTTCTGAAGTTGACTGAAAATGGTCTGAAACGAAATTTGACGATTTTCAAGGTCAAATTTGGAGCTTAGAATGGTCTAAAATCATCCAAAACTCTAAAAATGAGCCTTTTTTGCAGAGAGAATACCTGAAACTGGAGGCGAAATCGTTCCACGACGTGATGTCGCTCAAAAAGCAGCTCGACGACTACAAATCCGCGCAGATTCTGAGTGGAGGAGGACCTCCATCTCGTGACGTCTTCTCTGGAAACATCTCGTCGAATTCTCAGAATCGTCCGATTTCTCGAACGGACCGTCTGGCGCCGTCGCCACTGGATGAGCCGATTTGGGATGAGCCCGAGCCATATGTCCCGAATCAGCAGCTCGGTGGAAATGCACCACATGAATCCGACTACTACTCATCTGGATCAATGTCAATGGGTCGGAGACGTTCGACGAGGAGAAGTCATTTGGTTCAAGGTAAGCGAGGCTCTGAAATTGGCAGAAAATCGGTTCAAATCGACTAAAAATCATACTTGTAATCCGGGCCTTTGCCGGGCCTTCGCGGGCCTTGCCATAATTTCTTTCAGAATCAATGTTTTCGAACCAACTAAATCAGATATGATAGAGCTCCACGAGTACTACAAAACGGTATTATTTGGAATACTGTATCGTATCTATGAACAGAGTTACGGAGCAAAAGGAACAAAAAAAAACAGGCCCTGCGAGAAAAGCCACTTTATGATCTGTAACTTTGTTCATAGACAAGATACAGTATTCCAAAAATAACGATCTAAAATAGCCTCAACATGGCCTGAAACGACCTAAAATGAACCTGAAAATGGCCTGAAATCGTCCAAAAGCAGCCTAAAATGGTCGAAAAACGGCCTAACATGATCCTAAAATAGCCTGAAATAGCGCAAAATTGCTTCAAAATCATCTGGAATAGCGCTAAAATGACATAGAATGGTCCTAAAACGACCTGAAATTGGCCTGAAATGGCCTTAAAACGACTGAAAAACGGCCTAGAATAGCCGCCTCAAAAGTAGGCCTAGAAGGCATTATGACAGTTTATGCAGTTTTTAGGTCAATTCAATCCTTTTTCGGAATGTTTTTAGGCTGGTTTTAAGCTTTTTAGGCTGTTTTTGGCTCAAAATCAGCTTTGAATCGCCTTAAAACGACCGAAATTGGCCTGAAATAGCCTTAAAACGACCTAAAAACAGCCTGAAATGGTCTTTAACCATTTAGGTTGTTTTGGGTGGTTTTTAGGCTAATTCAAGCAATTTCAAAGCCATAGCAATTTCAAAGCTAAATTTGGCCCTAAACCCGAAATTTCGCTGAATTTTCAGCCGAATCCCCGTCTGACCAAGAGAAATCGACGTCATCGAAATCCGCAGCCACCAAGAAGGAAGGCGTCGTGCACAGAAGACGTTCGAGAAGTACAGGAGGACGTCAATATCCACAATACGTCGATCAATACTCCCTCACCAATCAATATATGCCAGGATCATCGGATTCGAGTTTTCTATCGATGGGCGGAGCAACAGTAGGAGGAGCTCCTGGATTCCAACCGCTGAGCAATCGACACAGTAGAAGTGGACATTTAAGTGGTGGAGGTGGAGGAGGACACTACTCGTCTGGAGGATCGAACGGTGGTAGAAGTCCACCACCTGAGATGCCACTGTTGGGAGCGATTCCACCGATCGGAGCACGCAAGCCATTGATCAAGAGGCCAGGTGAGTGGCTGAAGTTTTGGCTGAAAATCGCTGAAAATGACTGGAAATTGGCTTTAAAATGCCCGAAAATTGACTTAGATAGCTGAAAAATGACCAAAAACAGCTGAAAAACGGTCTAGAATGCCCTCAAATAGCGATATTCAGAAATTGCGTACAAAACATCGAACTTTACGACGAATTCTCCGTTTGACTAGAAATTAGGAATCTTGGGTAGTTTTTGATGCCGAATTCGAATTCCTCATTAAATTCAAACATTAAGACATTATTCGTGGGGTTCTTGATTTGACGACAACTTCCGTTTTTCATGAAAATCTGAAATCTGGGGTAGTTTTCGAGGCGAAATTCGAATTTCTCATCAAATTCTAGTCTAGAATGGTTTTTCCTGGGATTCCTAGCTTCATTTTGAAGGGATTCGGTGTTTGCGTACTTTTGAAACTACAGTAACCCGAAAAATCGAATTTCAAGGAATCCTACCAATATGGGTATCAAAATGTCAGAAATTTCATATGAAATCGAGTTATTAAGGTTTGAAAATCGAAAAATTGCGCTAGGCGTGGTGTTTGCGTACAAAACATCGAACTTTACGACGAGTTCCCCGTTTCACTAGAAATTAGGTATCTTGGGTAGTTTTTGATGCCAAATTCGAATTCCTCATCAAATTCCATCCTGAAAACATATTTTCCGAGGTTCCCAGCTCAATTTTGAGGAAATTCGGTGTTTGCGTTATTTTGAAACTACAGTAACCCGAAATTTCGAATTTGAAGGAATCCCATCGATATGGGTATCAAAATGTCGGAAATTTCAAGGCGAATCTCATGGAAATTGTAATAAATCTTGAAAAAAGTTGGAAATGTCAGATTTTTACTGAAAAAGACCAATTTTCTGTCAAAGAACTCCTCAATTTCTCATTTTCAGACTCGTCTCATCATCACGGAAAATGATTTTGGATTCCAATTTCTCTGCGTCTCCTCAAATTCTGCACTCTCTATCTGTCTTCTAGTCGCCCCGCCCCCTTTTGGCACTCGAATACCAATATATAAATTATTGATTTTTCCAGAAAAAAATCACTTTTTTTGATTTTTTTCGTAGATTTTTCTCTAAGACATATCCCATATATTTATTCCTCCAAATTGCCGAAAAAATCGATTATCGATTTTTTTGCGCGCGATTTTTCTGTGTAAATCGAATTCATGTCATATCTCTCTTCTCTCTATCGAAAATTTCGCTCAATTCTTTTTGTGTTTTCTGGTTTTTTTGGTAATTTTTTCCTTTTTGTTGTGTGCTGTCCCCTCCACCCCGATTATACGAGTTTTATATGTGCCCCGCCCCCATTTTTCTGGAGAAAAAAATTTGGCTGAAAATGGCTGAAAATGAGCGGTTTTGAGCCTGAAAATGCGATTTTTGACTAATTTTGATCCCAAAAATGGTCAAATTTGGCTAAACATGAGCAATTTTGAAGCTGAAAACCTCAAATTTTGAGATAAAATTGCAGATTTTTGGCTCTAAATTTCTCAAAAATTTGAATTTTGGCTGAAAATGGGATTTTCCCAGTAATTTCGACCCTGAAAAATGATGAAATTTGTCCGAAAACTGACGATTTTATGCAAAAAAATTGTATTTTTTGTCTTAAAATCTGAAAATTTGAGCAAAAATTTCCGATTTTTGGATCTAAGAATCTCTTTTTCGAGCTGAAAATCTCAAATTTTGGCTTTAAATTCTAATTTTTGAGCTGAAAATCTTAAAATCTCCGAGTTTTTGAGAGTTTTTTGGCTGAAAATGTGCAACTTTTGGCAAAAATCGCAACATTTTGATATAAAAAATTCCGAATTTTGGCTAAAAATGCGAATTTCTGGATATTTCAGGTTGAAAAGCTTAAATTTTCACTCTAAAATTCGATTTTTGAGTAAAAAACTCGCGAAAATTCAAATTTTCCGCTTAAAAAAATCGCAATTTTCAGCCAAAGAATTTTTTCCAGAAAAACGAAAAATGTGATTTTTTTTCTGGATTATTCTCTTTTTCAGCTGTAATTAAGTTTATTTATTTAAATTTTTTGAGTTCTGAAAATTTCAAATTTTTGGATTTTCCCGGGTTTTTTTCTTGAATTTTTTGGAGGTGTTCTTCTCTTGGTGGTGGTTTTTGAGCCATTTTTTCCATATATTTTTGACTTTGAAAAAAATCGATTTTCAACATAAAAATCACATGAAAATCAGAAAAAATTATCGATTTTTTAATCTAAAAAAATCAGCTGAAAATCGATATTTTCAGCGCAAAAAAAATCCCGAAAATTCTCGAAAACATGGAGGCAAAGCTGGTGAACAATGTGGCGACGGCGTACGCGATTATTATTGATTTTTGGCTGAAAATTCTCAAATTTTCAGCCAAAAAATAGATAAACTATCGATTTTTCAGAATTTCCAACACTGGAGCGTCTGGAATTGCGATTGCCGATCGGAATGGTGTGCCGATGTACACGACGGGAGACATCAAAGTATGAGTACTAAAAAATCGATAAATCAATGAAAAATTGACTGAAAATCGATTTTTTTTTCGTCGGTTTTTGTTGTCTAAAAATCGATAAAAAATAAGCTACCACTTTTTTTAGCGGAAAAATGCAATTTTAATGAGATTCGCTATGAAATTTACGACATTTTGATACCCATATCGATAGGGCTCTTTTAAATTTGAATTTTCGGGTTACTGTAGTTTTGAAAGTACGCAAACACCGAATTTCTTCAAAATGAAGCTAGGAATCCCAGGAAAAACGATTCTAGACTAAAATTTGATGAGAAATTCGAATTTCGCCTCGAAAACTACCTCAGATTTCAAATTTTCCTGAAAAACGGAAGTTGTCGTCAAATCTGACGTTTTGTACGCATACACCATCTTTAGGCTATTTTTGAGCATTTTTCGATTTTTAAAGCATTTGAAGTAGATTTTTTTCCTGAATTTTGCGACATTTTGATACACATATCAATGGGATTCCTTGAAATTCGTTTTTTCGGGTTACTGTAGTTTCGAAAGTACGCAAACACCGAATTTCTTCAAAATAGAGCTAGGAACCCAAAGTAAAAAGTTTCTGAAGCAGAATTTGACAAGGAATTCGAATTTGGAATTAAAAATAACATATTGAGAGTGGGAAATTCTGAAAATTTCAAAAATTGGAAACAATTTTTTTTTAATTCCAAATTTCCAGCCAATAGCCAACATCGGCTCATTGCTCATCGCCGACGCCAAGAATATGTTCCCAAATGGAACGAAGAACAAGAAGAATCACATTCCAATCGTCACCCTTCACTCGTCCGACGGTTCGAAGACTACGGTAGCCAATAAGCACGGAGAGACTGTATCGATTCATTTCAGAAAATAAATAAAATCGATTTTTCGCTGTTTTTGAGCCATTTTTCATCAATTTTAAGCCATTTTTAGCTGAGCAATTTGGACACCAAAAAGCACAATTTTGAGGTATTCAAAGCTGAAAATGCTAATTTTTAAGGTCGAATTCGTCATTTTTGAGTCATTTTGACTCTGAAATGCTGAAAATTTCAGCCAAAAAATCCGAAATTGCTCATTTTTGGCTCATTTTTTGTGCTCAATTTTCACCCCGCCCCCTTTTCTAGTTTTCCTTTTTTCTGTGAATTTTGATCCCGAATCCCCCAATTTTCTTATATTTTTTGAATGTAGATACACCAAGGACCCACACATTCCCCATGATTTATCATCATCTTTTTTTTTGAAAATTTCTATCAATAAATTCGATTTTTCACCCTCCAAACATTTTTTTCATCGAAAATAACAATTTCCATAAGATTCCCCATGAAATTTCCGAAATTTTGATACCCATATCGATGAGATTCCGAGAAATTTGAATTTTCGGGTTACTGTAGTTTCAAAAGTACGCAAACACCGAATTTCTTCAAAATGGAGCTAGGAACTCCAGAAAAACATTTTCTAGACTAGAATTTTCTGCGAATTTCGAATTTTACATCGAAAATTGCTTTGGAATTAGAATTCTCAGTGAAAAACAGAATTTGTCGTCAAATTTGATGTTATGTACGTAAACACCGAATTTCTTCGAAATGGAGCTAAAAACCCGTGAAAAATGATTTCTGGCCTAGAATTTGATGAGAAATTCGAATTTCGCATCGAAAACTAACTCAGCACTCAAATTTTTAGTGAAAATTGAGATTTGTCGTCAAATTTGATGTTTTGTACGTAAAAACCGTATTTTTACAAAATTGAGCTAGGAACTCCAAGAAAAACGATTCTAAGCTAGAATTCTATAGGAAATTTGAATTTGACATTGAAAACTACTTCAGATCTTGGATTCTCATGGAAAAATTCAATTTTTTAAAATACCAAAGCTTTCTAATTGTTTTTCTTCTTAATTAATTTTTCCTCCCGAAACCAAACTACACACATTCACACCATTTTTGTTTGCTCCGTTTTCCTGCTTTTTCAATATTTCTTATCAGTTTCCATAGAGATTTCCCTTTTTCTTTTTCTCTAATTCTCTTTTTCTTCCCCCCTTCCCCCATTGCTCAGCTCTATTGCTCAGCATAAAAAATGGAAGACTTTCCGCATTCCCTGTGTGCCACGTGGCACCTTCCCATTGCTCAAAATCTTCATGAAATCAAATTCGTGCATTTGGTCGGTGTTGGGGCTACAGTAATCCATGTGGATGGGAAGGTAAAACCTTTAAAGACTTATAACTTTTTTCTGAGAATTCTAAACTGATAAATTTTTTGAAATTTGAGTTTGGCGCGTCGAGAGCTTCAAAATGAGTATAAACATGACTTGAATCCATGAGAATTGAGGTCAGAGACGCAGTGTGTCTCGCTTCTCTGCACTCTAGCCTTCTTTAAACTACCGTAACTTTCTTAGTTTGAGCCCGATTCTGTTAAAAATAGTTGCAATCGATTTGTCTCATCAAACGCTTCAAAATGAGTATAAATATGACTAGGCTCCGCCCAATTTGATTTTTAGACTTTTTTCGACTTTAAAGGCGCATAAGGGTCTGAAATTTCGAAATTCATCCAACCTATGCTTGTGGGTACTCATTTTGAAGCTAAAAACGTACAAAGTTCAAAAATCAACTTTTCGTTTTGTTTGGAGTAAAACTGAGCGAGATACGGTAGATTATAGATTTTTTCCCAAAATTCGAAAATTTCCAAACCATGCCTTGTTTATGCTCATTTTGAAGCTCTGAACAAGGCAAACCTAGTAAAATTCAAATTTTCAAATTTCAATCAATATTTGAAGAGTTACAGTCAGTTTTCAGGTGGTCCTCCATCGCTCCTCGTATTCTGGAAAGTCTGGAAAAGACCATTTCCAGGTATTTTTTTTTTAATTTCAAAGGAATTTTTAAAATTTTCAGATAAAAAGTGCTGATTGTTTGATTACTGTAATCAGTACGGCTACCATACATGAATGTATACTGTATGTCAATGGAAAACGCTTCTCGGAGTATGCGAAATGGTACAGTAATCATTTCGCCACGTGGAAACCAAAAATCGTGGGCGTAGATATTCGAGTCGTGTTAGGTCAGTCCAAAATCGGAAAATTACAGAAAATTTGACCCTGGAAATCTTTTTTTCATATAAGTCGACGATGGAACTCTGGGCGAATGGACGTGTGGTGGAGTGTACGGTAAGATTACTGTAACTTCTTGGATTTAGAGTTTTAGAGTTTGAAACTTTACAATTCAAATTTCTCATGTCCAGGGCTTCAAAATGAGTATAAGCAAGCCTAGGCTCCGCCCATTTAGGAAAATTCCCTCCCTACAGTAATCGCCCAAATCCTTTAAAAGCACCGTAACTCAGTCAATTTTGCTTCAAACACAAGGAAAGTTTAATAGTTTGATTTTTCATTGCGCGAGCTTTAAAATGAGTATAAACACGACTAGGTTCCGCCGACTTTGAAAATTTCGGACCCCTATGCGCCTTTAAAGTCAAAAAATCAAAATGGGCGGAGCCTAGTCCTTATACTCATTTTGAAGCGCTTCGCGAGACAAATTGATTGCTCATTTTTTCCTTGAAATACAGCAACAACTAAAAAAGTTACGGTAGTTTTAAACAGCTAGAGTGCAGAGAAACGAGACACACTGCGTCTCTGGCCTCAATTCTGAAGGATTCCAGTTGTGTTTGGGCTCGTTTTGAAGCTCTCAACGTGGCGAATTCAAATTTTTAGCCTGAAACTCGTTTCAGACCAATTTCACCGAATCCGGGACCATCCGAAATTTCGAATTGGATCCCAATATGAAAATTCCATCGGCAATTGTCACCAGTGATAAGGAGTAAGAAAGATTTTTTAAAAAGAATTTCTGAATATTTTCTAGATACAGTAATCACACATTGATGGTGGATGGAGAAATGGTCCCGTTGTTCGAGGAAATCGACGAAAAAGAGCACAAATTGGAATTTTGAGATTCTTATTTTTATTTTTTTGATTTCAATAAATGATAATTAAAATTTCCGGACTTCCCATAAAATTTGCGACATTTTGATACCCATATCTATAGGATTCCTTTAAATTGGAATTTTCGGGTTACTGTAGTTTCAAAGGTACGCAAACACCGAATTTCTTCAAAATGGAGCTAGAACCACAGCAAAAAATTTCTAGACTAGAATTTGATGAGAAATTTGAATTTCGTGTCAAAAACTGTCTCAGATTTAGAATTTTCAGTGAAAAGCGGAATTTGTCGTCAAATCTAATGTTTGGTACGCAAACACCACGCCTAGCGCAATTTTTTGATTTTCAAAACATAATAACTGGATTTTATATGAAATTTTTGACATTTTGATACCTATAGCAATAGGATTCCGTGAAATTCGTTTTTTCGGGCTACTGTATTTCAAAGGTACGCAAACACCGAATTTCTTCAAAATGGAGCTAGAACCACAGCAAAAAATTTCTAGACTAGAATTTGATGAGAAATTTGAATTTTGTGTCAAAAACTGTCTCAGATTTAGAATTTTCAGTGAAAAGCGGAATTTGTCGTCAAATCTAATGTTTGGTACGCAAACACCACGCCTAGCGCAATTTGTTGATTTTCAAAACATAATAACTGGATTTTATATGAAATTTTTGACATTTTGATACCTATAGCAATAGGATTCCGTGAAATTCGTTTTTTCGGGCTACTGTAGTTTCAAAGGTACGCAAACACCGAATTTCTTCAAAATGGAGCTAGAACCACAGCAAAAAATTTCTAGACTAGAATTTGATGAGAAATTTGAATTTCGTGTCAAAAACTGTCTCAGATTTAGAATTTTCAGTGAAAAGCGGAATTTGTCGTCAAATCTAATGTTTGGTACGCAAACACCACGCCTAGCGCAATTTTTTTGATTTTCAAAACATAATAACTGGATTTTATATGAAATTTTTGACATTTTGATACCTATAGCAATAGGATTCCGTGAAATTCGTTTTTTCGGGCTACTGTAGTTTCAAAGGTACGCAAACACCGAATTTCTTCAAAATGGAGCTAGAACCACAGCAAAAAATTTCTAGACTAGAATTTGATGAGAAATTTGAATTTCGTGTCAAAAACTGTCTCAGATTTAGAATTTTCAGTGAAAAGCGGAATTTGTCGTCAAATCTAATGTTTGGTACGCAAACACCACGCCTAGCGCAATTTTTTGATTTTCAAAACATAATAACTGGATTTTATATGAAATTTTTGACATTTTGATACCTATAGCAATAGGATTCCGTGAAATTTGAATTTTCGGGTTACTGTAGTTCCAAAAGTACGCAAACACCGAATTTCTTCAAAATGGAGCTAGGAACTCCAAGACGAAAATTTCTGAGCTGGAATTTGATGAGAAGTTTGAATTTCGTGTCAAAAACTGTCTCAGATTTAGAATTTTCAGTGAAAAGCGGAATTTGTCGTCAAATCTAATGTTTGGTACGCAAACACCACGCCTAGCGCAATTTTTTGATTTTCAAAACATAATAACTGGATTTTATATGAAATTTTTGACATTTTGATACCTATAGCAATAGGATTCCGTGAAATTTGAATTTTCGGGTTACTGTAGTTCCAAAAGTACGCAAACACCGAATTTCTTCAAAATGGAGCTAGGAACTCCAAGACGAAAATTTCTGAGCTGGAATTTGATGAGAAGTTTGAATTTCGTGTCAAAAACTGTGTCAGATTTAGAATTTTCAGTGAAAAACGGAATTTGTCGTCAAATCTAATGTTTGGTACGCAAACACCACGCCTAGCGCAATTTTTTGATTTTCAAAACATAATAACTGGATTTTATATGAAATTTCTGACATTTTGATACCCATAGCAATAGGATTCCGTGAAATTCTTTTTTTCGGGCTACTGTAGTTCCAAAAGTACGCAAACACCGAATTTCCGAAGAATGGAGCTAGGAACTCTAGGAATGGCTAGAATATGATGAGAAATTCGAATTTCGCATCGAAAACTACTTCAGACTCAAAGTTTCCGTGGGAAATGGAAAATTTCAAATATGGCCTAGTGGCTAACAGGGCCGACTAGCGATCTCAACACCAGGGTTCGACTCCACTTGGGCCAAAATTTTAAAAAAATAATTTTGATGTTTTTTTTTAAAGTTTTATTCATAATAAAATGCATAAAAATGTGAAAAAAATATGAAAAATATGTTTTCAAAACAATTCAAAAAATGATTTTTTTCAAATTTAGCGCCAAAATTTTTTAAAAAATTCTATCAGACACTACACTATAGACTACACACATTTCCCGTCCGCACTTTTGATGATATTACACCGATTCTTATCTTCTTATCTCTCCAGTGTCTGACTTAAAGGATCACTGTTCTCTCTTTTCTTGGTTTTCTCTGCGTCTCTTCTAGAATTTTTATCTTTCCATCTTTTTTGTTTTCCTAGTCTTTCAGCAATTTCTAGTCTAAAAATTTTTTTGAAAGCTGAAAATTTGAAAAAATCTGAAACTTTTTAAATTTTTTTTTCAATTTTTGTCTAGTTTGGTGATAAATCAACTGATAATTCTTCTAATTGTCATTAAATTTTAGAGATTTAACAACAAATTTCTTATCAGTTATCATGATTTTTAGTCTTTTTCCTCCATTTTAGAACTCTCAAAAAAAAAATTTTTTCCAATTTTCTTTTTTTTTAAATTTATTTATAAATTTTAAAAATAAGTTCCTAATTTTTTTTGGTTTTCAGAATGCCAAAATTTTTAGGAATCGATTGGATTGACCCATTTTCGTCGTTGGAACGAAAAAAGACATATTTGGGCATGGTGGTCCATGCCATCTATTGCTATCCAATTGGAAATATGCTCCTGACGGTCCCATTTTTCATGGTAGGACTTTGAAAATTGGAAATTCAAATTGACCGCGTTTAGAGCTTCAAAATGAGTATAGACATGACTAGGCTCCGCCCATTTTGATTTTACGACTTTAAAGACGCATAGGGGGTCCCAAAATTGAAACTCAATGAAAGCAGGTCATGATTTCACTCGTTTTGAAGCTCTCAGCGTGGAAAATTCCAAAATGTAACTTTCAAAATTTTAGGAGCAAAACTGATTGAGTTACTGTAGATATAAACATCCTGACTATATAAAAACGTTTTGACCATATTTCGAAATCCTGGAATTTTCACGACATTTAACATACATTTTTGAGTTTCTCATAAAATTTCTGAAATTTTGGTACCCATATCGATAGGATTCCTTCAAATTAGAATATTCGGGTTACTGTAGTTTTAAAAGTACGCAAACACCGGATTTCCGAAGAATAGAGCTAGAAACTCTAGGAAAAACTTTTGCAGACTAGAATTTGATGAGACATTCGAATTGTGTGTCAAATACTACCTCAGATTCGTAGTTTCAGTGAAAAATCATATTTGTCGTCATATTTGACGTTTTGTACGCAAACACTACTTTAGTCCTTTCTGGGGCATTTTTTGATATTGAAAATTAATTAATTTGATTTGCTTCGGAATTTCCGTCATTTTGATACCCATTCCGATAGGATTCCTTCAAGAATGATTTTTGGGTTACTGTAGTTTCGAAAGTACGCAAACACCGAATTTCTTCAAAATGGAGCTAGGAACTCCAAGAAAAAAGTTTCTAAGCTAGAATCCGATGAGGAATTCGAATTTGGTATCAAAAACTACCCTAGATTCGACAATTTCAGTAAAAACTAGAATTCAAAATTTTGCAAAAAAAAATTATTTTCCTCAATTTTTCTCCAAAAATGCAATTTTTAGCTCTTCCCATTTCACTGGTCATTGCTCATTCTACTTTATGCCGCATGGGCATATTACGATAGAAATACGCCATCAAAAGGGGGCTATGGATTCGAATTCATTCGAAAATGGAGAATCAACCGGTGGTACGGTGGATATTTTCCAGCAAAAGTTCACAAAACCGCCGCATTGGACTCAAAGAAGAATTATATATTGGGTTATCATCCACATGGTATCATTTCAATGGGCGGATGGGTCAATTTTGCATCCAATGGGTCAGGAATTATGGATATGGTAAGTTTTGACACGAAATTCAAATTTCTCATCACATTCTAGCCTAGAAACGTTTTTCCTGGAGTTTCTAGCTCCATTTTGAACAAATTTGGTGTTTGCGTACAAAACGTCAGATTTGACGACAAATTCCGTTTTTTTAACCGAAAACGCGGAATTCCAGATAGTTTTTAACAGGAAGCTTGAAATTCTCACCGAATTCTACCCTAGAAACGTTTTTGGTAGAATTCCTAGCTCCATTTTGAAGAAATTCGGTGTTTGCGTACTTTCGAAATTACAGTAACCCGGAAACTCAAACTTTTTGGAATCCCGTCGAGATGGGTATCAAAAAGTCGGAAATTTCATGACAAATCTGGTGTTTTAATGTGAAAGTTCAGAAAAATCCCTTTGAAGTGACCTAAAAAGTGTTAGAAGTGTTTGCGTACAAAACGTCAGATTTGACGACAAAATTCCATTTTCCACTCAAATTCGAAATCTAAGAGGGTTTTTGATGCAAAATTTGAACTTCTCATCAAATTCTAGTCTAGAAACTGTTTTGCCGGGATTCCTAGCTATATTTTAGAGGAATTCGGTGTTTGCGTACTTCCGAAACTACAGTATCCCGAAAAATCGAATTTTAAGGATTCCTACCAATATGGGTATCAAAACTTCCCAAATCTTATGGCGATTTTGAAAATTTTATTTTTGAAATTATCCGAGCTACAGTAATCCAAATTTTTTAATTACAGTACCCTGGAATCACCTTCAATCTATGCACATTGGGTCTAAACTTCAAAATTCCGATTCGAAGAGAAATTCTGTTGCTTTTTGGATGTATCGATTGCTCTAAAGAGTCAATGGAATACATTTTGAGTTCAAAAAACCAGGGAAGAGCACTAGTTTTGGTTGTGGGCGGAGCCGCCGAGTCCCTAGATGCTCATCCTGGAAAACATGAGCTCACTTTGATGAGCAGAAAGGGTTTCGTAAGAGAGGCATTGCTCACTGGAGCACATTTGGTTCCAGTTTACTCGTTTGGAGAGAATGATGTCTTTGAACAGGTAAGGGTTTTGGGGAAACTGAAAAATAGATTTTTATATCTACATTAACTCGATCAGATTTGCTCCAAAAAGTTTGACAACTATTTATTTCAATTTGCCGCATTTTGAGCTTCAAAATGAGCCTAAACACAACCAGGCTAGCTCAATTTTGAATTTTGACCATATACCAACCGCGACGCG